TTCTAAGCCTTCACTTTGAAATTACATGCGTAATTTTTCCTATTTGACCGTTCTCACACACACATTATATATGTGTACAGTATATAAATCCTTTTTTTATTTACCATGCTGTTAATTTCCTATAAGGTCTTTGATTGTCTTAGAATGATAAAAATTGTTGCACTCTTTCCAATTACACTGATTGCTGTCTATTTGAGTGGTGGTTTGAATGTCGATTTTAATGTAACAAACATGGAATCAAAACCAAGAAGGACGAGAAAGTCCGACTGGACAGAGGAACAGTGTTTACTGTTAGCCCAGTTAGTGGATGAACACAAACAAGGCCATACTTACAGGAAAATTCGGGCCGGGTGTCAATCTATAGCGTCTTATTAACTTACTGTCATCCATTGACCATTGTCTGCAACAAATTTCTTCTCCCTCTTCGTCTATCTGCCATTTTCTCCTCTGCTAAAGAAACTCTTAAGCCTCTTAAAAGTCCTCGTCCATACTCCTAACAATTTTGACCTTAAGACCTCTTTTAAGTGTTAAGATACTTTCTGAATTACTTTTTTCTTTACTAGGATTTTTTCTTTAATTTTAAGAGTAAACGCCCACATTTCTAAGAATTTTCTTAGAATTTTGTCACTAGGAGCTACTTTTTACATTAAGATTCTTTAGGAATACGGGCCCAGGGCCCGTATGTATAAAACTTCTAAGAAATGATCTTAAGAATAGTCTTAAGCTTTGACTTAAGTGTAAAAAAATACTTAGTAAAGAGTAGGACTTTTCTAAGAGTAGGAGACATTTATAAAGCAGCTAAAAGCAACTTTCAGTAAAGTATAAGACTGATTTTTAAGTGCTGACTGAAGTGGGACTTAAGTGCTGCAAACTAAGGACTACAATGATGTGAACCCAAAATGGCCGCCCTCACCCTCTGAATCAGCCAATAGTGAGCCTGCAAGGGTGAGGTCACAGCAGCATGACACCAATTATTTAATGTAATTATAATAAAATAATTTAATTAAGACACTGAAACTTTAATATTTAAATGTATTTTTTTTAAATGGCTTTGCATTGTGCAAAATTATCACAAATTAGTATTGAAGGAAAATTGTCAGATTCACCCTTTATTCAAATAGTATTAAAAATGTGTTCAATATTTTGTAAGCGTATTGTGTAGTTGTGCCTGGAGTCAATTGTTTATTTGTGATAACACAATGAAACATTTCAAATTGACATAATTTTTAGCCAAGCTGTCATACAAATAAATTATGAACAGGTGAAAAAACAAGAGAGGAAAATCAAATATTAATAAATGATTATGTTGCAGACAATATATGATTTTTTTTTCTCCTGTGAGCTTTTTAATTGTAATATCTTTATTGTCCACCAAGGTGGAAAATTGTCTTTGGCTCACCAGCCATTAAAATAAATATACAGACCATAATAGAAGACAAAGACATAAAACAGACAGATCACAATTCATAAAAAATAAATACATAATAATCACATTTCATACTATAGTCATTTGGATTATCATTTACTTGCCGAGTTGAGAATTTTAACAGCATTTGGAATAAAAGACCTCTTAAACACATTTTTATTTTGTTAGAGGGGTTCTGTAGCGTCTTCCCGATTTCATGGGCTCAAATTGACTGAAGAGAGGATGAGAACTATCTGCAAGAATAGTCCTTGCCTTCTTCGCCCTTTCAGCATAGAGCTGTACTAGTAGCCTCTGTTGTCTGCCAACTATTCTGCTTGCAATTGTCACAATTCTGGCAAGTTTGTTCTTAGATCTGCAATTTAAATGATCATACTGTGAGATGAAAAGTTATTACACTCTCCACCATGGATTTGTACACAAGTTCTAAAATATGCTGACTAACTCCAAGGCCACTAAGTTGTCTAAGAAGAAATAAACGTTGCGAACACTTTTTAAAAAGGTAGTCTGAATTGTCAGCAAAATTCATGTGTGAATCAAGAATTGAACTAAACTTCTTCACAATTTCAACTTGTTGACCCACAAGTGAAATTGGCTGGATTGACATATCTGCTTTTGGGCAGATAACCAATTATTTTGTCTTTGCCACGTTAATTTCTAGTTGGCTAAAATGACACCACTTCTCCAGGGCCTTAATGTGAGCCAGATAGGCAGCGTCATATAACAGATTAGTTTTGTCCAATAGGCCCACTAAGGCCATATCATCAGCGTATTTGAACAATCTAAAATGTTCTTCTTTAATCGTAAACTTATTAGTAAAAAGAGAGAAGAACACAAGGGAAAGGACACAGCCTTGTGGGCAACCTGTACTTAAAGTTAGCATATCAGACACAGTCCCTCGAACACAGACCCTCTGTGTACGACAAGAAAGACAATTTCTAATCCAGCGGACTAAACCTGTATTCACATCTTGTTAAGAGAATCTGAATCTTCATTGAATTAAAAGCCGAGCTAAAATCCACGAATAAAACCCTGACATATGCTTTGGGATGCATGAGATGTTTTGTAACTGTATTAAGCAGTGTCAGTACAGCATCATGTACCTCTGTTACTCTTATATGCAAACTGAAGTGAATCTAACCTAGAGGCGACAGTCGAAGTTAGATGATTAGCTAAAACTCGTTTCATAGTTTTACACAATATAGAAGTTATTGCAATGGGCCAGAAGTCATTTGGCATGCTCGCCCTTGGCTTTTTTGCCACAGGCCTAATTATTGAGTACTTCCATAATTTTGGCACTTTACCTGTGTCCAAAAGTAATTGGAACAACCTTGCAAAGACTCCTTTTAGTTGAGGAGCACACTCTTTAAGAAGGCATGCTTTTAAACCATCTGGGCCAGTGGTCTTATTAGGCCTTAGTTTACAAAGGCTTGCCATGACACCAGCCTCATTGATAACTATTGATGATTCTGCAGGGAGATTATTACATATCTCATCACATTCAGTCTTGCCTTCCACAGTGTCAAATCTACCATAAAAGTTATTTAAATCATTAATAAAACTTTTACTTACACAGTTATCATCCTTTTTATTTGGCCTACCCATTAATCTATTTAATCCCTCCCAAGCCTGTTAAGATATAAGTATCACCAGTTAAGAATTTTCCCTCTATCTTTTTGTTTTGTTTTTCTAAAACCTGTAGCTGTAGTTTGCCCTTATTTGTCACTTAATATTTAAAAATAATATTGATCTGCCTGCATTGATACCATTATATGAGAACTGAACTGAACTGGACGATGACATCACTGTTTTCACCAGAGTGGCTGTATAGATAAATTAACTAAATAGATAACTAATGATTTTTTACAATGGAAATAAAAGCTTTTGCTTAATTTCTGCCAGGAAGACTAAATTGTCACGTCACTTATTACCTTCTCATCTATCCAATCCTGGGGGTCCTTCATCTGTCCATACCTCATACCTCCCGGGGGTCGCTGCACCCCTGCCTTCGTCTTTAAATGCGAGTTACGGACGGGACCTACGCAACAGAACTTTATAACACAATACTTGCTTGCTGGGCTGTTAATAAATGTATTTGTCACGTCATTTTGCCATATTTTCCTCATAATTTGATGGTTTAAGCAAACTTGTAGGGTCATTTTTTTTTTTTAAAAACTCCGCACATCACTTTTGGCCACCACTGTATATTTGGTGTGGTCAGTGTCACATTAGTGCTATTCAAGAGCTTATAACTGTGGACTGAAGGGCCCGAGTCATCACAGGTGCACTGCTGCATTTCTCCAGTCGCCAAAAATATAATTATTACTTTAATTTCATTGCTATTAAACTTTTTAAAGGTAAGTTACAAAAAGAATACCTTGATGATTAAACTTTTTTTTTATTGTTTGATCAACTCATTTAACTACAATATATCATATTTTCGTTGAAAAGTGCATGGCCTAACCTCTCTGCTGCCATCTTGTTACTCCTAACTAGGTTAGGAGACCTCTCCAGCTCTCTTAAATAATTTAGGAGCTGAGACCAAGCCTTAGCACTTAGGAACTTTTATGAATCACACTTATTCTTAAGTTTAGGAATAAGAGTAAAATTATGTAATTCTTAGAATTTTGACAGACTTGAGACTAAAATTTTACTCTGAGTGGCTTTATACATACGGGCCCAGGTGTTTTCAATCTCATCTGAAATAAGCAGTGTTGCATTACACGACCAGATTACTTTTTTGATGTTACGAGTAAAGTAATGCGATACAAGTAACGTGCATTACGTAATCAGATTACTTTTTGATGTTACTAGTAAAGTAATGCGATACAAGTCACATATATTATGTAAGCACATTACTTTTTTGATGTTAATGCAAATCACATTCTAATAACACAAATATATTTATTTACAGTCAAAAGAAGTTACTGCAGATTAAGTTTTTTTTTTTTTTAAACAGTCAGTTCTAGTATGAATTGTAGCTGAGATAGCCATGGATGCATGATGTGGACAGATGATTAATCAGAATTTTCCTCCCAATCTAAAATCAATACTTGAAAAATTTAACTGTGATATGAATCATTAGATATTGCTTAATGCTACAAAAAAAATGTTTTACCTGCAAAAGTCTCCTATGATAGAAGGAATGGGTGGATATTCCGGAGAAACGTGACATTTCTGACTAGCCATTGGCCATCTTGGTCTGGATACAATGTAGAGGTTGATATGCAACTATGCCATCAATACCCATGCAAATGCAAGAAAATGCTTTTTAAATGCCTGTTGTAGTGACCTCTGCATGAAATAATTAAGAAGGAAAGAGACCATAATTTAATTTCTTCTTAAGAAAAATTCCCATATTGTGTTCCCCTAAAGTTTTTATGTAATAGGAACTAGCATCTGCTCTGAAATTTTTATTATAGACGTAGTTCACATTTATGTTTACTTACATTTACAATGTAAATCGACTGAATAAAGCGTGGTTCAACCCAGCCAGTGGTTCAAGGGTGCAGTTGCTCCGATACTCAAGATGGCGCTGTTCACACTGACACAGTTGCGATGCGACGAGCTCTTACCGAAGAAGAAGACCAGATAGCTGCTTTATTTATCAGAGGAGACCATGCATCAGGTTTAGGTTCTATTTATTGATTTGACTCAGTATTTTAGAAGTTGTTTCTTTTGTTTAATATTTAGATATAGAGCACATGTGGAAATGGCCGCAAATCCGCCCGGACAAGGTAATTGTTGTTGTATATCAGTTGTCGTAAACCGCTGTACTGTCATTTCTGATATTAAGCTAGGTGGATATGATATAACTTACTGTACTGTTTAAATCATTTTCAAAGTAACTCAACAAATTACAACAAAGTTAAGGTATACAGTGCGATGAGGCCAAACATTTACAAATAATTAGTCGTTGTGTCACAATCGCTCAGTTTTTATATAAGATTGGCTTCAAATAGCCCTACAGAATGTAATATGTTTGCTTGCTTTAAATTAACTATTATATATCTGCACATTTGTTCTCGATAGTATTTCAAAACAAAAACAGGGTTGCTATTCTAGCTGAGCTGGATAAGGAGAAGAAACGCCTGATCCAGAGTCAGTCAATGAATAATCCAGGAGCCAGGTACTGTCAAACACATAGATCACTGTACAAATACTTTATTTGTATTTTCTTCTAAAGAATTTGTCTGTTAAGTCAGTATCTGTCGTGTAAGATTGTCAATAATCTCCTCAGAAGGTCTTTATAAGTTATTCTCATAACTTATGCAATATAATGTGTTTTCCCAGCATTCCACTCTCTAGACCAGCAGTAAATAAAGAGTTCAGGGATCAGGCCGAACAGCAGCACATTGCAGCACAGCAGAAAGCAGCTTTACAGGTACCGTAAGCTTCATGTTTAGAGCTTCAATATTTTTTTATCATTGATAATGTCCCATCAGATGAGTATTTTTCTCTGGTTTGGTTTCAGCACGCACATGCACACTCGTCAGGCTTCTTCATCACTCAGGATTCCTCCTTTGGTAACCTCATACTGCCTGTTTTACCAAGACTCGACCCGGAGTCTTGATTAGTTTTGATCAAATATGCTACTCTGACATGGACTTGCTAGATTACTTTAATTTTTTTCATGAAATTTTTTTTTTGTGGTGGTGGTGGTCTATTTTTTCATGATTTTACATAAAATGGAGAAAAGTTAACCATTATTGTGTTGTCATTTTTAATAATGTGATATATATATATATATATATACGATGATAGGATGTTCTTCCTGCCTCTCAACATATGTATTTCTATACCTCTGCACAGACATCACATGTCATAAGCGTGTTCAGCAAGGTAATGCAGAGTTGTAGACACACAGTCACAGAGCACGCAAATGAACAGCAGCCGCCTTTTACTGTTTCTCCTGAACCAAAACAACAAGCTTATGCTACGTTCACGCCATTTCATAACTGTAATTACGAGACGGCAATCCGTGACGTTATATCCAGAGCTGTTCACATCCTCAGACACAGATTTATGCATTTCTGTGTCAACACTATCAGTGTCGAAATGAATCTGCAGCAGTCAGTTGGTACAACTAGAGCTCTGTAAGCAGGGTCCGAAATTAACTTTTTGCCTCACCTGCCACGGGGACTGGTAGATGAAAAAATCCACCAGCCAAGCATATTTTTTACCGGCCAAAATAATAAACAGCCTTTTTGTGTCACATATACATTAATTTTATATATAGGCTATATTTAAACATTTTTGTCATTATATTTCTGGTCTATTATTTTCCATTCTTACTTTTATTTACACACATATTACACAATTTACACACATTAACATTTTTGTGGTGGTGCCTATGAAAATAGTTCTGTACAAATTAAATGTATTAATTGTATATTTAATAAAATGTATGCAATAATAATATAATTATTTAAAAAAAAATATTTAGTTTTAAACTGCCTATTTTTGGTACTCATTTTACTCTGACTGATCCGATCAGTAACTGAAGGACTGGAAATATCAGTTATTTTAACCATTCATTAAAATGAATCGGTTCAAAGGAGTCATTGGTTCGCAAATTGAACGTGTCATTATCGGATGTGTACACGTTGTGTGATTATCCCGGCAGCTAGGACATCCCACAAGATTTGTCTCAACACAGAAAACATTTAATCACTGGATAGTTTTTTTTTCCGTTTATTTAAAGTGTGGTTTATGTCAGCTGAATGTGCGGAACACTTTCAGAGAAGATAAGGAATTTTAGCACAAATCACAACCAGCGGTAATTTAGGAAAAAAATATATCCGAATGCTCCACAACATGATACTATTGTCTCCCGACCTTTTGCCATCGTGTCGATTTATATTGATTAATATGTGCCAGGGAGAGAGAGCAAGACAGCGCTTAGGAGACGGTGAAGCCTTGTTTATACTTTCGCCTGGCTCTGAAGAGAAACAGTGCGCACGCGCGCGACCGCTCTCTCTCTCTCTGCTCGTTCTTCAGTTGCGCCCTGTCACTTTCAATTCCCATCCCGCAAACACAACTCCGTCATGTCCGTAGCCATCACGCCAGATATTTTATAACAATACAAAATGCAATTGTAATAAACATTTTATTACATTACTGTTTTGGTCAGTGGTGTAGTCTACGTGATACGCAGGTATACGCCGTATACCCACTAGAAAATGTCAAGGATTTCCGTATACCCACTAGGAAAGGCCAAGGATCTCCGTATACCCACTTAAAAAAGCGCGAGTATTCGTAACAACATCGTTTTGTGACAGAACTTTCATTCATAAATTCACCCCGCCGTCTGTGTTTGCGCAGCGGATCGAATCGCGGAATCCAATCACAAATGTAACTTAGCCTACTGTAAAGCGGAACGTCACGCAATTTGGCCATTTTTGAAAGAATAAATCAAAAGTAGGGAATGGGATGTACAACGATATAGTGTGTAAACTAGTGTACTAGTGTGTAAAGCTCAAAAAGACTGCTATAGAAATAAACTCTGCATGTTCTGCGTGTTTCTGTGAATGAGCGCTCAATGTGTGCTCTACTAGCTACACACTGAAGCGCGCGTGACACTCATGGTGTTTTCAGCGTTTATGAGGAGGACACATTTGAACTTCATCGCAGACCTTTTATGAGAGTCACTTCACAAGAATTTTACCATTTCATTTGATAAAAGTAATAAAGTAATAAAAGTAATAGGGGGAGTAATAAAAATATATATGTGCATAGATAAATCATTTATAATAAATACTGCAATATTCTTTATAAAACAAGAATTGTCCATTTTGATTTCGTGGTGACTTTAAAAACCAGAAAAAAAGAAAGAATATGACTACTTATTTTACAGGGTTGCTTTATTCGTGGCAGTATATTTGTATCTCAGCGGATTTCTTTCATGCCTCAAACATCTTAATTTGTAACCATTTCAGTTCATAACCTAAAATAGTCATTGTTGTGTATGTTAAAGAATAAATAATATTATATCAGGCACATATGTTGAACAGGCTATATCTAACACATACAGTATCTAACGATGTAACATCTGATAAGTGCTTTCTATTTAAGAGAACAGCTACACAAACACAGAACATTTCCAAGACAGGAATAAATGAAGGATAGCAGGATTAGTTCCACTACATTCATGTGTCTACGACATGTACGGAATAACTGGACTGACATTTTAAACTCATCGTCAAACTCGTAACTGTTGCCATACACAGTAAAAACATCAAAATTGGCATCCAAATGCCTTTGTAATGTAGTTGACTTAATACAGGATAATGAATATTTTGCATTGCACATGGTAAGACAGCTGTTTTTACAATATAATCATGACAAAAAGACAACTTAATACTTAGTGTCATACACATTGACAGAAACAACAATAAAGACTTTGCTTACCTAATAGAGCATCTAATAGAACAGAGCATTGAGACATAAAGCAAGATGGCCTACTCAGTCATTCAGTTTAATTTAAACCTGCCGTGTGTTCATCAATTTTACAATACTTCCTCCTATCCCAGATTAATGTGCCGTTTGTAGATTAAACTTCTGAGGAGTGGTTCTGTGGCCCTTTCCTTGGTTGATTTGAGCCATACCTAGAGAGAGATATCATTAGCATTTCCAATAATCCAAACGCCAGTTGCTCAGCTGGTGCAAGTATGGACGTATGCAACTTGAATTCCATTATCTTTGCACATGGACACAGTTATGGATACAGATTTGTTGTCCTGATCCAGTCACCTGAGCCACAAATGCCTTGTGACTAATAACTCTAAAGCCTCTGGAAAATTACATTGTGACAAGCTGACAACACTGGCTGATGGAACCACAAGCAACTATCCTGAGCTGTGACCCAAAGGCAGCAGAAGGGAGCAAATAAGAGTCCATTTGAGGCTTTGAAGAAACCTCCAAAAAGTCAAGGTATCAGAATACACAGCTAATCTTAAATGAAAAAATTTAAAAATGGCACTTCATTCATAAAAGATTGGCAACCCCTGGTGTAGACATCTGTCAGCAGGGGCTAACTGAACCCTCCCAATCGTCCGATCATTGACTCCTTTGAGCAATCTAACACATCAACTTGCTCAATGAATGCTGTGCATTTGGAGTGGGAACGACTCTTTGTCCAAAAAAATGGAAGACGGAAGTGTTTGAAAAAATAGTTTGGAAACAGCCGATCCGTTTGATGCTACAAGTGGCTCAAAAAATTACTCTTCAGCTTTAAGCAGAGTCAGTAGAGTCAAAAGAACCAGCAATGACAAAGTTGGTGCTGCCAGGATGGGAACTCCCTGACTGGGCGGCTTGTTGCCTAAGGTCATTGCAGATCAGAACGAGCTGATTGCTCTGGGCCTCGGACAAGGAGCTGCAACTCTGGTAAACACTGAAATTGGTCTTTCTCCCTGGAATGTTGCCTTTCTCACACATGGTCTTCACCATCTTTGCTAATTTGTTCTTTCCCAGAGCTTGGCAGTTGTACCAGTGCAGGGCGGCCAGGTTGACCACAGGCTTGATGGACAGATAAAAGGGGGCATCTTCAAAGAGCATTGCTTGAGGTCTGCGCTGAGCGAAGTCCTTGTAGTCCTGCACCGGGCAGGTTTGAGGAGCGTGCGGGGTAGCGTAGATGCGAAACTCGGTCGTGGACCTTCTGTTTCTGGCATTTGGGTCACTAAAATCCTGGTAGGTCCACTCCAGACACTCTAGTCCTGTTTCTGTGGTGAGCAAGCGCACATCGCCCCATTTGAGAGTGGAGCTATGGAAGCCTGTGCAGTGGCCAAAAGCCTTGGTGTTGTTGAGCCACACCAGGTTGAGTAGACCCTCAGGGTTGAAGCGACTCAGGAGACCCCGTTTCCTTAGGAGCAACTCGTCAGCAAGGGTCAGCTTCATTGACTTGTGGGGTTTGTTGCCTTTCCCTTTGAACTTGAGCTCCAACTGCTTTTGCTTGAGGGCATCTTGGGATCTCTGAAACTCCCGGTCTCTTGTAATGCTGTAGGCGTAGCGATGCTCCTTCAGATAGCGCTCCAGGCCACACTGATAGTTGGCCAGGCTGTTGGGCTCATACTCCGAGCCATCCCTTTGGCGGGCATCTACAAAGAAGGAGGCCAAGTAGATGTCCAACTCATGGCAGGGGATGAAGTATATCTCTCTGTTCTCAGTTGGATACTTAGAGACCAGGAAGTCCCGAAAGTTGCGAAGAGCTGTTTGGGTGCTGCGAATGGTCTTCTCGTTCTGTTCTCGGTATGCTCTCTCATCCATCTCTGCTGAAAGGGAAGAAGGTAGTGTTTTCATGTCAAGAACTTTATTGCTTTGAAAACAATTACCCAATGGACCTTGGACTAAAGAGGCGGGATATTTGACATGAATGGAAATGTATTTCTGTCTCTCTGTGAGGGATACACATACAGTTCCTAGTAAGTTACCATTACTGGTTAGACCAATACTGGTCTAAGGTGTTCTCCAGAGATTTTTTCCAATGGATTTTTTTTTTGTTTTTTTGAAAGGTCAGGCTTTTGAAGATTTTCACGGTACAATCCATTAAATGGACTGTACACTTCTATCTCTCCAGCCTTGACTAGTGCAAATCCAAGCGCTTACACAGATACACATGGGAGCTTTTGAAAGCAGGCATCTATCAGTGGATCCCTAATATATCCACTGATAGACGCCGCTTTCAAACGCTCCCGTGTGTATCTGTGTAAGCGCTCAGTGAAGACAACATGTATTTGAAGCGTTGATCATTGTAGCCAATCATAGATATATATGTTGAGCTCGTGAACACAATGGCCAATCAGAGGTGTTTAAGAATCCGTTCAACAGCGCTCAAAATGCTAGAGGGAAATGCTGGTATCGTTACATTTTTATATTTCACTGGATACCAAAGTCGGTACTTTTAACACTAATTTTTACCATATGAAATATGAGGTCCTTTGTTGATAGCAAACAGCGAAGCTGCTCAGGTACTGTCCAATCTTTAGGAAATATTTCTAATCCCAGATTCTGTATTGCTTTTTGAGTTATCGCTTATCAACATAATGGCAAAATCATTTTTCCAACAAAAATAAACCAGGCATCAAAAGGGGTTTTAGGTTGTGATTTTCCATTTATTATTCACAATAACAGTCATTGAACCCACCGGATCATACAATGCAGTGTAAGATCCTTAAGAACTTATTTTTCACAGTCAACACCTTGACAATCTTGTTACATGACACTAATCTGGTATTCAGAGAGGAAGAGGTGTCGTGTCAGAAAGTACAAACATACACTGTAGTTTGTGATGGAAGTAAGCATGCAGTCATAAAATTATTATTATCATTATTTACCTAATGTTTAACACTGAAGTAAATATTGGTCAGGCAATCTGATACTAATACAAGGCATACAAAACAATTATTTAATTTCATTTAAAAGCCAAATTGGCCAAGAACAAGTACAACAACTGATTGAAAGTTTTAAACAAGTGTGCTGGCATAAATAGCTCACTTTGTGACTGATCATGGCAAAAGAGGAAAAAAGAAGAACAAGGCCGAAATGTGATGGTGAAATCCAAAGTGTTCATTAAGGGTGGTGGTCCTCATGTCCACTGTAATGTCCACTGTCAGATACGGTAAATGTATTTTTTTTATTTATTATTATTTGCTGACAATTGGTAGAAGTTCCCCCTTTACTTTCATACTTTTAATCTTGGCTTTGATGCTGTCATCCATGGCCTGTCGGCATCTGACTGCATAGTGGGCCAACGTTTCCTCCTTCTCATCCCATGGAGGCAGAGCGTGGAAGACTTCAGGGGCCGCCAAGCTGAGTTCAGCAATGGCTGCTGTCCTGGAAATGGTATTACGGTCTACTCCGACTCTCTCAAAAGCCACTTTCATGGACACACAACGTCGAAACTCTTGCAGTGCAGCCATATATCGAGCAATCACACCCACAACGTTTTTCACTGAAAAATAGTAACATCATTCTTTAGTGAAACGAAATTTTACTTGAATGACAATCAAAATCTAGCATTGTTATTCATTATATAGACCACTTCTGAACTCTGGCCCCCGAGATCCACTTTCCTGAAGGGTTTACCTCCAACCTCCATCAAACTCATCTGCCTATAACTTTCTAGGGCTGGGTTTATGTCCACTTTTTTATGCCCTTCCCTCACTAACTTCCCTTCGTCTCGTTCACTCGGATGTACATCATTGCTTACGTTGCACAAGTGCCCACTACTGGCAGAACCCTTGCAATGTGTTTAAATGGAGCCCTAAACCCTTGATCACTGGAAACTGCTATGAAGCTGATTTATTATTTTCAGGTTTTTGCATTATGAATTTGTTTTACGCACCATTCTATAGGCCTATATGTATGCTTGGGCTGTTGGAGAAAATATAGTAAACTACACAAGCAAAAATAATAACAATACAATAAACTATAATAGTCAGCTTAAGGTAGCTACAAGTATTATGCGGTTAAATGTCAAAATAACCAATATCATACACTAGAGTTGTGTGGGGTGGGGTAAATTAAGCACGACCTGCTGTGACGTCACACTTGTGTTGCATTGTGGTCTATGGATCTGCCTGAAGTGTACATGTTGAGTAGACTCGCTCCCTCTGTCAAAATCGAGGGGTCGAGGGTCTGTCCAAATAAACTTCCCTAGCCCACTTGACAAAGTCGAACACACTTCAAAATGGTGGTGGGGATTCCTCTGAGCGGAAGTGCTTAAAGAAGTTTGTGAGTGTGACTAAAAGTGTTGTTAAACCCAGCCTAGTAGTCCTTAAGACATTGGCTAGCTTGTTCAGGTGTGTTTGATTAGGGTTGGAGCAAAACTCTGCAGGAAAGTGGATCTCGAGGGCCAGAGTCGAGAACCCCGGCTCTAGATGTTTGAGTTAAAGTTCGAATTTAGCTAAACTTTGGACCCAAATCCTTTTCTTACTTCGGACACGCGTGTTCTCGCCATCTCTGCTTCTCTTTGATGAAATCTTGATGGTCCTCTGCCTGTCCCGTGGGAGCAACTCCACTTCCTCAAAGGAGTCGAAGAGGGCTGGAGAGTCAAGCGGAGCGCCCTCTTCAGGAATAGAGGTAATTATCTGATGCGAGCTGCATGCCTCCATTTGACTTGACGAAAGTGTCCTTCTTTTATCTGCCAGTCAGAGAAAACAAGACCGTTCTTATCCAAATCACAACCTACATTCTGATCTCCATGCCTCCCTTCATGTCATATACAATTGTTATTCTCTAGATTGTAAGGAATAGTCACCTGGGCGTAGTTGTTCTTGCAGGAAGTCACAGATGAGCTCAGCCTTCTTAGTGAGTTCCTGTTGCAGAAGCTCTTTGTCTTGTTTCAGGCTGCTGATGGTTTCACCCATCAAGTCACCTTTGCTTCTCTCAGCCTCTAGTAGTGCTTTCAGTCTCTCTATTTCATACACAGCTGGAGATACTGTTTGAGATAGAAACAAAGCTTTACCTCAGGAGTTCCCACTACCACTGGAAATATATATCTAAATCTTGTTGTTTTTTGGTGCTAATCTGAGAAGTCATCTGAAATCTGATTTTAAGAAAAAAGAAGAAGAAAAGAAATACTTAACATAGGCAACAATATACATTATAAGCATGGGAATTAAAAGTAGAAAACAGAAGAGAAATACATGGCTGGTGGTGAACATTTAGGGCTGCCGGATGATTCGACATTTTAATTGAATTAATTATGCGTTGATCAATTAGTCAAATGAATCTCTATTAATTACATTTATCCACAGAAATCAAGTTTATCTGTGGTAGACCTTGGAGCCATTTACACAGGACATGTTTTTATTCGATCTGCAATGTCTGTCATATTTCATTCGGCATCCTGCGGTTAACATTATGGTTGTTGTTTTTTAGCTTCTTGATTTCTGCACTCTAGCAGACAGTAAGTTACAGTATAGGCAACTCTTGCTATTTTTAACACCACAGTGCCATTTGACATATCATGTCAATTTATATTGCGTATATTCTGACTTTTCTTTAATTTTTTTTTAATTTTTATCACAACACAAAGATGGAGATGCTCGCTTAGCTTGACAAAGGGGTCCAAAATATCTTTTTAATATAGTAATTCAGAGCACTTCTCTTTCCAGTCAGTGTTGGGAAAAGTTACTTTTAAAAGTAATGTTACTTACAATATAAACTTTACTCCCTAAAAAAGTAACTGCTTGCATTACTTAGTTACTTTTTATGGAAAGTAATCCAACTTTACCGTACTTAATCATAGTTATCCTCAGATTTTTTGTTGTAAATTAAAAAGTAATGCATTACTTTACTAGTTACTTGAAAAAGTAATCTGATTACATATCCTGCATTGCAATGCGTTTCCCCCGACACGGTTTCCAGTAGAACTTATTCCGATTGATTGCCGTGTCACATCTTGAAATGTGATCCATTTATCATTGCTTTTGTTGTTACTTGATGATTACCCTTTTAGCCGGGGAGATTTCTTTGTCTTTGTTTGGAGTGGTTTAAACTAAGATCATCTTTATAATACTTCTTTAAATGTCTTTACTTTTAGTAGGCTTATTTTTGCTACTTCTACATGACCTCTTCAAATATGATTATTTTGTGATAACATTAAAAATCATAATTTCTAATAGGAAAAAGTTGAAAAGACAACACCACCTCAAATGAATGCCACTGATGCAGACTGGTAAATTAATTAATTAATCAATAATAATAAATAAAATACACTGAATTAATAAGCAGTCAATAAGAAAATTCTACCTTATAATATAGGATGACATGCAAAGGAAAAAAAAGCTAAATTGCAGCAATTCATTCAAAGTAAAAAAAAAAATCACAGACATCATTTGGTCATTGATTTTATTGTAACGCATCATAAAATGACAAATAAGACCACTTAAGACACACCAGGATGATTGAGTATTTACACACTTGAAAATAAACATCAGTCATCAGTCTTTGTAGAAGTGCTAAAATAAGGACAAGTTCAGCATCAAGTAGGTACAAAAACAAAACACTTTTAAAACTGGTCAGGTGAAGACCATTACGGAAAGATTGACCTTTCATAACCATACTAAATACTAAAGTCAGTTGTTTCTTTTATATTAAACATTTGTGGACAATGTGATATATACCGGTACCTACCAAGGTTCATAAAAAACATAATACTTGTTTTTGAAAAGTGATCAAACTTACTGAGCCTTTCAATGTTTTAAAGTCTGCTTTACTAATGCCATCCGAACAATTTCATTATATATCAGAAGTTTGTGAGCCCTTGAGTGACCTTTTCACTATAGACTCATTTCAGCACCTCACAGACAGTAAGACATTTTTAGGAATATCTTTAACACAGGAATTGTTAATTGTCTGTTTGTTTATACTGAATAAACAAATCTCACATTTCTGGCAGTAATTTGATATGCTGTAATATGCTAAATGGCCTATCCACCTTATTTGTGGAGTAATAGTGGCCGCGGCCATTTGTGAATTAAATGTGTCGAGGGGCTTCCAGTTATTTTTAGCTATACAAAACAGCTCGTTATGCTGCTTGATATTGCAAACGGGTATTACTTACCATATAATTTTAAAGGGGCTATATGTAGAATTCCGAAACCCTTGTTATTAGCGACACCGGTGGCCGTTAAGTGAACTGCAGCCAGCAACTTATTGCTTTTGCTCGTCCTCGCACTCGCACTCGTGAACACGTGACGTATAAGAGACTGAACGTGATTCAATGCTGGTGAAGTTTTCCTCTCATTAACAAAATAAACGCACAACAAAAATGACAGCAGTGGGAAAACAGCAGTTAAAGGGTTAGTTCACCCAAAAATCAAAATTCTGTGAGTAATTACTCGCCCTCATGTTGTTCCAACCCCGTAAGGCTTTCGTTCATCTTCGGAACACAAATTAAGATATTTTTGATTAAATCTGAGAGCTGGATCACAGCGCTTCTGGTTGTACGTCACACGCATCACACACATGACCAGCGTCGGCCAATAGTGAGTCTACGTGTGACGTACAACCCAGAAGCGCTGCGCTGTTACACTACGGGAACTCACTCTGAGGCCCACAGAGAAGGATATGAATAGTTGAATAAAGTCGTTATTTTTGTTTGTTTTTTGCGCACAAAAAGTATTCTCGGCGCTTGATAAACTTAAGATTGAGCCACTGTAGTCACTCGGACTATTTTAACGATGTCTTTAATAACTTTTCTGGGCCGGCCAGTTTCAATCCCATAGAAGCCTATGGAGAAGTGATCCAGCTCTCAGATTTCATCAAAAATATCTTAATTTGTGTTCCGAAGATGAGCGAAAGTCTTACGGGGTTTGACCAACATGAGGGTGAGTAATTACTGACAGAATTTTTATCTTTGGGTGAACTAACCCTTTAAGAGCATCTGATCATAGCGATGTGGATATGTTTGCACCAGTTCTGCGAGTCACCGGCTAACAAACTATCATAACAGTGTAATTTTAAAGTATATTTGAGACTATATAGTTGTGGCTATGTGAGACTATAGTTTGAATTAATCCATTTTCTTTGCATGACACATTGACATTACAGTACAGAAAAGATCTTTCGCCATTATCCCGAACATAAGCATTCGATTCATGTGTCATTGAATGGAAGAGAGGCTCTCAGGAGCGTAAACGTCACATACTGGATTTTCCCATAAAAAACGTCCCGAGTCCTTCACATAAAAATTAGTCCACAGGCTTTCATAAACAACCTATGAAGTCGGGGAAGGTCTTGTTTTTTTTAATTCATTACAAGCTGTTCACACATTGGCAATAAAAAAGGGATATTGTTTTCATATAGCGTCTTTAATGTATTAACGTAATTATAAACACTGGTTTGTAGCGCAAATAGTTTTAACCTTTAACGCAAAATAAGGTGGATAGGATATCACCTAGGTAAAAATTTAAAATGTACGAAACATATGGAGTAATAAAAACTTTGTGGGATGGTTATAAATCTTTAAAATCAATTTCCGGTCAATCATGCACAAGCATGTAATGAGGCTATCCTCAATTTAGAGGGATGCTGATTGACAAATCAGAGCAGCAGTAAATGTCTGAGACAATAAAATACAGTTTAAGGTGGTTTTGATATGGTAACAGTTCACATTGTAATATTTAAAGATATCGGGTACGAGTAAAAACCATCAAAATGGTTTGACAAAACTTGTTTTGATTGTTACAATGCTACATGACTAACATGAGTAAGCACTAGACTATTCTAAGGTTATTTTAAATGGTTATAAACAGGTTTGTGTTGACTAAACAAGTCAATAGTCAGTAACTATCACAGTATAGATAATGTTGGTTTTGCTGAAACGAAAGAAATGGAAATAGTTCATTTGTCTGACCGTGAATCTTTCATCTATTAGTGCTGTAGCTGAACTGAATCAACTTTAACGACTCCACGCGTAATCGTTCATGTCCGAGACACCGATCGGCAGCTTCCATTCAATCACTGGGCAAAACAGTGTTTCCTTTCAACTATGTATAATAATAGCATTGGCCTGTGAATGGACATTTTTGGGCATCAGCAATTAGATGTAGGAAGGGTCATTTTTGCCTGAAGATTGTTCGTCACAAAAAATAAAGGACTCTTGAGAAGATTCTTGCTTCTTTTTCTGGCCGATTCGAAGTCTGCATTTATTAATACAGGCCTTCTTCAGCTTGGACGATTCCACAGGTGTCCATCCGTCTATCGTAGAGCAACGCAGAACATAAGCTGCGAGAGAAAACGGAAATAAATACATTTTTAATTCAAAACATTTTAGGGAATTCAAATTTAGGAAGTTAGAAAAAACAAACGGTGGATTAATGAAAGCTCATTGACCACTCAAAAATTGCACATGTATTATATAATGAAAAATAAATATATAATTATGTAAATATTACAGTTTATAGCTATTGTGCATTGTTATATCCGTGCATTTTTAATAATATTAAATGTTTCCTTCGTTGTTTAGGGGGAAACAGTGTAGAACATCCTTGATTATTTGTCTTAAACATTTTAAATCTACTAGACGTTCTGGGAAAAAAAACCCATCATAAGCCATTCAGAGCGAACAGGCATAAATGTAAATATTAAATATCAGCAAAAGGATGAAGACTTTTAGCTGAAGTATTATAAAAACGTTTGGGATAAGTCTCTTATTCTCACCAATGCTGCATTGATTTGAACAGTAAAATATAGAATAAAAACAGTAATTTGTGAAATATTTTTACTACTTAAAATATCTGTTTTCTATGTCAATTATGTTAAAATGTAATTTATTCCTATTATCAAAGCTTAATTTTCAGCATCATTACTCCAGTCTTCAGTGTCACATGACCCTTCAGAAATCACTCTAATATGATGATTTGATGCTCAATAAACATTTCTCATTATTATAAAGTTTTTGCTGCTTAATATTTTTGTGGAAACTGTGAT